GATTTTAATACTAACTGGCGTTAGTATTACCGTCTTCTTGCGAAGCAGAAGGAGTAGCCGGCGAGCGCCCGTCGACCGAAATGGTTATATTTGGGTTCAGTCTGTGGACCGTTAAGCTTGTCCGGCTACTATAGAGATGTGCTCTGAAGCGAGAAGAGGTGTTTGAATGGCGCATGCGTTGTGGCGCAAGCTACTTATAGGGGGTGATTTCCCTGACGCTGACGTCAAGATCTCCAGCCAATCAGGATTGGCGTAATGAGATTGATGCTTCTGTTTGCTCCGCGATGAGGCGCATCCCATAGTGAGACATTGAACGGAGTGTTATGAATGAGAACTCCTTTTTTACATTCAAGGGCCTCTAATCCACTCTTTATGATCTGAAAACTGGGATGTCTTAGAATATTGTTCAAGCCTTGGATGTTTCCAGCCATGTGAATTCATTTAGGGTCTTTATAATGTTTATTCAATTACAGCCGTTATTCGGATAAGTGCATGGGACAGTATTTCCTTTGTTTCTTTCAAAGGTTAAAGGAAATGTATTGCCTATTTGTATAGTGTAGTCCCCATTTTGACTGCCATTTTATTATGATTGTCTAATCAAGTTTTGAAAAGACAAAGGCAGTACACAGTGTGTGGTTCATTATAGTTCACCTCATTTCCCTTGTTTTTAATTTCCGAACGCTCACTGAGAAATCTACAGTCATTGTCCGTTACCACATTCACTGTATGAGCTCATTGTTTGAAGCAGTGTATATTTATTTTCACCACAGAACTCCACAATTGTCACTAGGGATGCACGATAATTATCGGTCCGATATTAGGAATTATGACGTCATCCCGATAAACCCGATACCAATATTAATAGCCCCGATAATATACAATATATTTTTTGGGTAAAATAAAAGAAAAAAATACTGCGGTGTGGGTGGATTGGGATGAGGGGCGCTTGTTTTTTCACTCGGCTCCTCCCGTTTTGCCAGTACTGTGGTATTAGTGGTTTAGGAAGAGGGGAGTTCTTCACAAATCCAGCGCTCCCTAACTCATGCCTGGCTGTGACGTAAATGGTGTGCGGCCGTGAAGCCAGGACAGTAAACAAACATGTCGTCGGTGGTATGTGCAACTCAAGGCATATGCTCGAACCGGAGCTGCCTGGACGCTGCAATCATGTTGCGCACTATCCGTGCTGAGTGTGCTGACTTTTCGTACAATGTCCCACTGTCTGGCTTCCTGCATAAAGTCAAGTGCTCAGCGCAGTTGTGGCGAAATGTCGCTCCTCTGTTTTCATTTAAACAGCTCCATATCCGTTAGCGCAGCTAGCTAGCACCAGATGCTAACAACAACAATGCACGTAAGGTCTCTCTCTCGCTCGCTCGGGCCACACATACACACACCCTCCCGGTCCTCCAGATGGCCAGTCGGTGCCTGCCGGTGAGCGTGGAAGTGTGGTCTGCCACAAGCGGGCGGCAGGAGCGGGGCTGTCAGCATCAGCTTGTAGATGGTATTTTAAACTCGATGCGCTCTGAAACTACGGGGCGGCCAAGGAAAAAAAAAATACACATGCGTTAATCGTGTTAAAATAATTAGTGGCGTAAAACATTTTTTATTATCGGTATCGGTCTTGAGAAGCAGGAAGTTATCGGTATCGGTTTCAAAAAACCAATATCGTGCATCCCTAATTGTCACACATTCTTGGCCCTTTTCACTACATTGTGACACAATAATTATTCATCAACTAAATCAAAGTAGATTTCCATAATTAATTGCCAATACTGTTTATTTACATCTGGTATCATCCAGCTAAAAGCCTCCCTTCAGATCAATCTGACCTTTGAAAGCACTTGGCACAGCTCTGAGCAAGAGTTTTTTCTGATGCAATATGTTCTGTAATCATGCTCATATGCCTCAATGTTAATTTACTGGCTCCTGTGATCAATTTCCTGTGTGTTTTTCTGTATAATACGTTTGTGCTTCTGAGGTAGCATCTGACGGAGTTTATGTCTTTGGTTGGCAATGATAGTTTGTCAGTTTATCTTGTTCGTCCAGACTGAACTATCTCAACAACTATAGACCAAACTTCCTTAAAATGTCACAATCATGGTCCATAGAGGATAAAGCAAGATGTGTAATACATTCACATAGATACATGCCCAATTTGTATGGGTTTGGTGACTTTAAATGTGCTTCCATCAACAGCATCAGGTCAACATTTTATACTTTATATAAGCACATACCTACAGAACATCTGAGTTTCTAAAGTTATCAAGCTAAATACAAATACATCTTTAAATCTACCTGCATGGATGTCTGCATTGTCATTGTGAGCATTTTCAATAACATTAGCATTAAGTCATCCAAAAATATCTATTTTGATCAAGAAAAAAAACATGGTATGGGTTCAAATAAGTACTTTAATCCATGAAGTTATCCTGGGAGCTTGTCATGTTTTAGAGTGGACGTACTGTTTAGCAGTGATACTGCAGATAAACCTTCTTAACATGTGCAAGTCATCGTAGCTAACTTTACGCTAGTCAGGTAGCATTTCCTGACTACACCTAAAAGGTAAGGTGGCGTACAAATGGAGGTACTGTGTCATTATAATTATTTGTATTTTATTTTGGATGAGGACTCCCAGAACCAATCACCTATTGTGTATCCTTCCAAGTATTTTTTCCCTTGCATGATGCGCACCCTCACATCGATGTGAACTGCTCTGGGCGTATTATTGTCCAATAGCATTGTTTCCATTGGCTTTGTAATAATCCCTCTGCATATGCTTTGCTTGACACCACAGTAAGAATCATTAGCCAATCTATTGTGTGGACTTTGTTAGGTTGTAGGACTACTTTGGTTCAGCTTTTTGTAGTCAGGTAATGCGAAATCCTTTCTGCTAAACAACCTAGCGTAAAGTTAGCTACGATGACTTGCACATCTGTTAACAAGGTTTATATATGCAGTATCACATGATAAACAGTACATCCATCTAAAACATGACAAGTTCCCAGGATAACTTCATGGATTAAAGTACTTATTTGAACCCAAACCATGTTATTTTTCTTGATCAAAATAGATATTTTTGGATGACCCTAACCACACTGCACAAGTGTTTGAAGGTAGATGTCAAGGAGTTTCCTGTTTTACAAGCAGATAGGCGTACTTGAAAAGGTATAGTAATATTGTGACAGTAATTGTGATCCTACTTTTGCTAATTTAAAGTTTGGCTGGAGTCAGTGTGCCAGGTAATTTCATTCAACATAAGCAACCTAGCTTAGAGCTAACGTTGTGGAGTTGGTACAGTGGCTTTGCTTTCTGTCTGAAAAAAACTAAGCTATTCTTTGTCTACTCAAACCAATGCACCTCATCTTCACAGTGCATGCATCTTTTCACGATTGATACTTTGTTTGTCACCGTTGCACACAAGTACATGTTTTGGCCTGTGAGCTTGTGTCAAACGCTTCTTATGGCTGAAAGGATCCAGTCATTGAGGAACTGAAGCCTTTTGGCGTCGGGCTGCTGATGTGTTTCTTTCACTGTCCTGCCAGTGTAGACATGGCGTAAAATAGATTCCAAGGGACTGAGCATGAAAGAGAGACACAAACGTTGGACATGTCACATATTATTTTCTATAGTCACATATTCCCTTCGAAAACATACATGCACATCTTATGAACAGCGTATAACTCTTCCTCCTCCGCATGATCAAACAGTATTTCCTTATCGCCAGCCAAGTGAAACACAAAGCCATTCATTTATCTTTCTCCAGTTCAGGCACAACTGCCCTAGCCTAACTAAAAGAGCTATCTTTTCCCACTTCCTTTAGCTCTTTTATTTTCTTTGGTTCTCTTTAGCTTAGCTCATTTCACACTGACTGTACTGTAAGCAGAACCATGCAACTCATCTAAAAGAACAGAGAGCAGGAAAAACAGGTTCCATTTCAAGCCTGGCTGGTGTGGAGCTGATGATACGATTGTATGTGAGGATGTAGGCCTACACAGTGTTCACAAGTGATACAAGGAAGTAACAGTAGCATATTCTTTAGAATGGATTCTACATAAATGATGGTGTGCATTGGATGATCGTGAATACCAATCCATAGCATTGCCATTGAGAAACTACATATCTCTGGCATCAAACTTAAAGGCAGAGACATTCAAATAGAATATAAGATATGCATGGGTCTATAAAATAAGTAGATTATTACTTTATTGATATACGATCTTGTAAGACCATTATATAGGCATGTTGTTAAAAGTGTTGGCCATTGCATCTGACACACAAAAGGCAGTATTCACTTAATACAGTACTAGGAGCAGTACGATTCTAATGTAAAAAGCCATTATACTGCTTATTTTGTGACACATCCTTTTATACATATTATCTCATTATTTATTTCCGCTCTAGTTGCGACCAAAGGGCAACCCAATAAGAAAATGTCATGTTGTCAATGCCAACCATTATAACAACATAAGACGTACAACGTGAGTAAGGCTCAGCACAGGAGAAACGATTAGTTATATTGTACTTATTACATGATGTACTGTAGTCGGAGGCGTACGTTGATGACTACTAATGAACTGCCCTTTCCCCTTTTTATCATCTGCCTTTATACATATGACTAAAATCTGCATGGAAAAATGCCTTCAGATGGAACCAGCTAACTAACCCTTTAACCTTATTAGTAACATGAACATGTACGCCTCGTTTAAAGCTATGGTAGAGTGCACTCATACACACACTGTCAAACGCATGGCTGATTCTAACTCTTTTAAATGTACCCACTTTGTCCCTTATGCATTGGCCGTATTGTTTAAAACTCTGTTCCTGACTTTGAACCTATCCACCCAACAATGCTTTTCCCTCCCCAGGTATTCCTCGACAGCTCAAATGAACACACTAATGTAGTTCCTTTAAAAACATTCTTGCCGATTAACTGTAATGAATGAGAGTCTCCTTCACATCGGAGCATGTCATTAAAATCACACCTCTTTGGTTTGTCGCTGCAGGACCTCAAGGACCCACAGGTGCGACAGGATTGGCTCCAGCTGGGCTTCCATTGCATATCTAATGCAATCAGACACCCCTGATTTTGTCCTTGGATGGCTTTCCGAAAAACTCAGATGCCAATCAAGTGGTTTTATCAGTTGGGTCCATGTGTGTCATCATATGATTTCCCCCTTAAATGATAACTCATGTATGAGGTACTGTATGTCTGTGATTATATGTTTGTATACTAGTCTATACAGTAGGTGTGGATGTGTATGTCAGAGGGACTAACAAGTCAAGCCACTTGAATATTCTCTCTGTTGTGTTTGGTCCCCATGTGACTACATTTATGCAAATACAGCCTTTTTATATAAACTCTGACGATAATGTATGGAGATTCGGCACAGCACCATTTTGAAAGCACTTTGAATGTGGGTCTCCCCAAGGGTTCTAGAATTTATCCGTGTGTACATGTGTGTTTGTTCGTGCTTGCATATCCCTACGTGTGTGTGTGTCCTGTGTTTGTAGCGCGCTGAGCCCAGGGACATCAGCAATGCCACCACTGTCCCAGTTTCTTGCATCCCTCTTAAAAAACATGTTGATTCAGACAAACCTCCTTTTCCTCCTCTGCTCCTCTCATCCCCTCACTCCTCTTGGGATGAACTGGAGGAGACGTACAACCACAGCAGACGTTCATCAACCACAGCCAGGGTGTTTGATTTTTACACTTTCTTCCAGTTCTTTCACTTTATTTTATTATTCCAAATCATATTTTCCCCCAGCTGACTTCCATGTGAAACGACAAGGAAGCTAGTCAATAGGATACAGCAGGAGCATGCCTGTTGGTCGTTATTTTAACTAGTCAATTGTACTGCGAATTGCACTCCCGAGAGATGTCGCAAATGCAACAACAAATGGTGGTAGAAGCAAGCCGGGGGACTTTTTGATGGCCATCAATCACTTTTGCTGCTATAGCTGCTGCAGCAGATTTTTCCAAAAATGTTGGAAAAGTGAAATGTGTTGGACGGTATAATAATTATGTCTCAAATGACTTTGGATTGCTTCAAAAAGGTACTTTTTATACAGTCAGAAAGTAATCCACTGGGGGAAACCGTGGGACCAACAGCAGTGTACTGTTTCTATGAAATGTTCAAATTGAGATCAATACAAACTTAACTAAGGCCTTGTCTGCTCTGATCGGTTAGCTGGCCAGCTCTATTATGATTGGTCAACTGCTGTCGTGCCCCTTAGCATATCACGTACAATGTGTTGGAGCGCTAGCGCCATAGAAGCACAATTGTTACATAGTTATTTCATTATGTTATCAAAGTAAAATGTATTGTCAATCTTCTGTGTGCAAGATAGACAGGGAGATCGAAATGTTGTTACTCACAATCCCAAGGAATAAAAGTTAAAATATCAAAAGAATATATATATATAGTATTACTCTAAACATGAGCCTAATGTCTGCTTTAAGAGGCAGGGATATTTGATAAGTGAAGGATGAGGAGTTGGTGACTCCACTGTCATGACATTATGAAGAAAGTATATGAAAAGAGATGTATTTGAAAAAAATCCCTTGATGAATAATGATGAAAAATATCATTTTTAATTAAAATGTTAAAATTCAGTTTAATTTTTTTTAAATGAGCACTTGTATCAATGGATTTCTACTGCCATGTATTTCATCATATATTTCTCCCACTGTAAAACAGATACAATATGCAGTTTCTCTTCCATCTTTTATCTTTATGGAAGAATGTTTCAATGTTTTTGTTCAAAGCATCAAAAGCTTGTGAGGTGTGTGATGGGCTTTTTACTGCCTTTGTCAGACATCAGCCAGAGAAACATTTTCATCTAGGTGATAGTTTGTAACAAGATTTCAGAGATAAGACCCTCTGAACTCACTGCCAGCCAGCCCCACTGTACTGTATATCGATCTATTTCCTCTCTTATTATTATTATTATTATGATTGTGTGTGTGTGTGTGTGTGTGTGTGTGTTTGTGCTCATGCGTGAGTGTGTGTAATCACATGAATCACAACTCAAGAGATGGCCAACAAAAGTAGGTTACCTCAAGCATTAGTTATGGTGGGTTCCTCTTAGACATGCAGATTGACAGATTTAGCATGCGTGTGTTATGCGAGTGTGTGTCCACATGCATGCATGGAATTGAGTGTGTATGTTCTCCTTCGGGCACAGCAGCAGATTGCTGAGCAGACAAATGTGTCCATCAGCCAGTCTCCAGGCCTTCAACTCTGACTAATCGACAACACTGAGAGACGTGTACATGTGCGCGTAATGGTTGGGGGGATGAGGGGGTCAAAAATCGAGTGTAGAAACAAATTAGGGTTGTGGCTAGCGGAAATGGGGTAGGTGAAGGAGTTCAGCAACACGGTAAGGGAGACAGACATGGATGGAGAAGAGAATATCCTGAAAGTCGCGATAGCATGGTGAACTGAGAACTCTGCGTAATTATGAAGACGACATGAGGGTCTTACGAGGCAGCGAGTAAGCAAAGAAGGAAATGACAAAGCAGAGAGATAATTAATAAAGAAAACAGGAAGTGACAGGTGGTGAAAGCAAGACAGCAGGAAATAAAGAATGGAAGAACAGGCAGACCAAACACACCCCAAGGCCCCAGACTATGACTAATAAACAAGAGGAAGGGGGAGAATATGACCAGGGGGAGGACAACATGAAGGAGAATAGAAGATAGGGAAAGCAACATCTCTCTGTCCCTTCTACTGTAAATGAATCATTAAATGGAGAGGTAGAGGGTTTGACTTCTCAAAAGGTCAACTGAACAAAGATTCTCATCAAAATGTCATCTGTATATTGCTTAAAGCTGCACTAAGCAATTTGTTATATTAGAAATGGATCCGAATTATTTGTTATAATGTAAGATGTAATGTTGGGTTGAGGTATGTCACCAAACTGCATGCTGTATAAAGCCATTTAGCCTCTTAGATCATTCTTTGGTTTTCTGACTTGCAACAAAACCTGGTTTAAATGTTCTTGAATAACATAAAAATACCTGGTTCAACGACTGGTCAATACGTATTTTTTTTGTTTATAAAAGCTACGGCTAAATGAGATAATGTAGTTAATAAATGTATTCTTTGATATGGCCTTTCTCAGGCTGCAACATGGTTAAGTTTACGAATATTATTAAGGAATACAAATCCCTCTTTGCAATGTTTACCAGCCTCCTTAGGCTTTTCAATCACAATCATTAAACTGGAATAAATACAATATTGTTAACATGAAAATATGATGTTATGTCCGTTGTTTAGAGTTATTCTAAGGCTTTACTCATTGGGAACTCGGTGTGAGACAGAGCACACTGTTGAGATGTCTGCCTGTTTTACACACTTTGACCAACAGGGGGGTTTGTGTTCAGATGAAGCCCATGGCCCTTTCTCACTTCTCTTATTTTTCATTTACTCGCTCCTCGGGCCCCTTCTCACTTCTCTTATTTTTCATTTCCTCGCTCCTCGGTCTTGGTCTCACCGGAAGGTGATTTGTCTGCGCCATCTTGAGTAGCGTCCCAATGGCCTTATTTCTGCCGGAGGAGCGAGGAGCGATAATGGAGGAGCTATAACCGAGGAACCACCAGACCATCCTTCGATGAAATCCTCAGACACTCGCCCCGCCCCCTTACTGTGTATCGCTCACTGATTGGACGATGCAGCGCATGCACTGATCTGATGCTTCTTGACATGAGAGCAGTTTCCCAGCGGAGTGAAGAAAACACATGAACCTCACGGGAGTCACTCCTCAGTTTATACTGTGTTTTGTTTCAATTAATGTATAATTTAGTTACAAATATGTGATATATCTGAACAACAAAGTGGTCAAAAATCATTTTATTCATTTATTGGAAACATTTTCATGATCGCTTTTTTCGTTTTACATTTTCATTTATTGTCATTTCCATTCAGTCAGTCATTAAGTGCTATTTAAAATGTTAATGTGCTACATATCCACACAAACAAACAAAGTGTGCAATCCAATGAATGTTAATCTGGGTTTTGATAACATATCTCTTTTTCTTCTCTGAATTATTTTATTTCTATTGTGCACTCTAATCAATATTAATCAAACTATTGTTCGTTTATACATTTTAAGAATGGCGTTTATCTTTTTTGAGAATTAGTTCTTATTTGATTTGATTTATTTGGGTCTACAACAGATGATAATAATGTTTGTGTCAGTAAATGTGTGCTAACAGAGGCGGGGGTGTGTGTGGAAATAACGGGGACATAGCTGCTGTCAGACGATCAGCTGTGCAGCGTCATCACAAACGGACGTCGCTTCACGTGACGCTCCGGAGGAAAGGACGTCCCATTGCTCTTAAAACTAATTTCCCTGCTTCTCGTGGTTTCCTTGCGTCTCTCCATGCTTCCCTGGTGGGAGGGACTAGTCGCAGGGAAACGACGCGCAAGTGAGGGACGCAAGGAATCAATTTAACCGAAGTGAGAAGGACCCTCGGGCTGCTTCTCAGGTCGATTAAATGAAATCCTTGCTTCCCTCACTTGCGTCGTTTCCCTGCGTTTAGTCCCTCCCACCAGGGAAGCATGGAGGGACGCAAGGAAACCACGAGAAGCAGGGAAATTAGTTTTACGAGCAATGGGACGTCCTTTCCTCCGGAGCGTCACGTGAAGCGACGTCCGTTTGTGATGACGCTGCACAGCTGATCGTCTGACAGCAGCCAGCTCTGTCCCCGTTATTTCCACACACACCCGCCTCTGTTAGTACACATTTACTGACACAAACATTTGTATCATCTGTTGTAGATCCCAATAAATAAAATAAAATAAGAACTCATTCTCAAAAAAGATAAACGCCATTCTTAAAATGTATAAACGAACAATAGTTTGATTAATATTGATTAGAGTGCACAAAAGAAATACAATAATTGAGAGAAGAAAAAGAGATATGTTATCTATCAAAACCCAGTTAGATTAACATTGATTGGATTGCACACTTTGTTTGTTTGTTTGTTTGTTTGTTTGTTTGTTTGGATATGTAGCACATTAACATTTTAATAGCACTTAATGACTGACTGAATGGAAATGACAATAAATGAAAATGTAAAACGAAAAAAGCGATCATGAAAATGTTTCCAACAAATGAATAAAATGATTTTTGCCCACTTTGTTGTTCAGATATATCACATATTTGTAACTAAATGAAACAGGAATTGAAACAAAACACGGTATAAACTGAGGAGTGAGTCCCGTGAGGTTCATGTGTTTTCTTCACTCCGCTGGGAAACGGCTCATGTCAAGAAGCATGAGATCAGTGCATGCACTGCATCGTCCAATCAGTGAGCGATACACAGTAAGGGGGCGGGGCGAGTATCTGAGGATTTCATCGGAGGATGGTCTGGTGGTTCCTCGGTTATCGCTCCTCCATGATCGCTCCTCGCTCCTCGATCCTCGGTCCTCCGGCAGAAATAAGAGCCATGGGACGGTACTCAAGATGGCGCAGGCAAATCAACTTCCGGTGAGACCGAGGACCGAGGAGCGAGGAAATGAAAATAGTCGACCTGAGAAGCAGCCTCAGTCTCGGTCTCACCGGAAGTCGATTTGTCTGCGCCATCTTGAGTAGCGTCCCAATGGCCTTATTTTTGCCGGAGGAGCGAGGAGCGATAACGGAGGAGCTATAATCGAGGAACCACCAGACCATCCTTCGATGAAATCCTCAGACACTCGCCCCGCCCCCTTACTGTGTATCGCTCACATTGCTCTTAAAACTCATTTCCCTGGTTCTCGTGGTCTCCTTGGGCCCTTCTCACTTCTCTTATTTTTCATTTCCTCGCTCCTCGGTCTCGGTCTCACCGGAAGTTGATTTGTCTGCGCCATGTTGAGTAGCGTCCCAATGGCCTTATTTTTGCCGGAGGACCGAGCTGCGATAATGGAGGAGCTATAACCGAGGAACCACCAGACCATCCTTCGATGAAATCCTCAGACACTCGCCACGCCCCCTTACTGTGTATCGCTCACTGATTGGACGATGCAGTGCATGCACTGATCTGATGCTTCTTGACATGAGAGCAGTTTCCCAACGGAGTGAAGAAAATACATGAACTCACTCCTCAGTTTATACCGTGTTTTGTTTCAATTAATGTATCATTTAATTACAAATATGTGATATATCTGAACAACAAAGTGGTCAAAAATCATTTTATTCATTTATTGGAAACATTTTCATGATCGCTTTTTTCGTTTAGCCTATACATTTTAAGAATGACGTTTATCTTTTTTGAGAATGAGTTCTTATTTGATTTTATTTATTTGGGTCTACAACAGATGATACAAATGTTTGTGTCAGTAAATGTGTACTAACAGAGGCGGGGGGGGTGTGTGGAAATAACGGGGACAGAGCTGCTGTCAGACGAACAGCTGTGCAGCGTCATCACAAACGGACGTCGCTTCACGTGACGCTCCGGAGGAAAGGACGTCCCATTGCTCTTAAAACTAATTTCCCTGCTTCTCGTGGTTTCCTTGCGTCCCTCCATGCTTCCCTGGTGGGAGGGACTAGTCGCAGGGAAACGACGCAAGTGAGGGACGCAAAGAATCAATTTAACCGAAGTGAGAAGGACCCCTTGCGTCTCTCCATGCTTCCCTGGTGGGAGGGACTAGTCACAGGGAAACGACGCAAGTGAGGGACGCAAGGAACCCATTTAACCGAAGTGAGAAGGACCCCATGATGAAGCCTCATGAGACGAACCCTTTTGCGAACTAATTGGCTGGAAAGCTGGAAAGCTTCATAAGGCTTCATCTCGCCATCACTGCAATCTGGAAACTGGTAGAAGTGGACAGGTTTATATGCTTGGGTGCTGATTAGGGAATGGGGAGCAGGTGAGTGGAGAGGATGAGCAGGTGTAGTGACTCTCCTGATGAGAGGGCAGGCCAATGGGAGTGGCCATTTGAGGACATTTTATAAAACAACAGGAAACTAAATGAGAATAATGTGTTGAACACAAGTAAAGCTCACTCAAAACCATAACAATATGCCACCAAGATTATATGTGATAATGTTTTCAATGCAAAACAATAAAGGTCTTTAAGATGGTGTCATGTGTTATCTTGGGTAGATTTACTGTGCCAAATAGCCCAGTAAAAACAGATTTTTTTACTTGAGTGGAGTGAAAAAAACAGCTGTTAATATTGATCACCTTTTTAAGTTGTTGAAACAGTTACTATTCACACATCTACCAGACACAAAACAAGTGTAGTCATGCTTTTTGTTTGTCATGCACTTTCTTTTTGGCTCTGCTTTGGTCTCCCATCAGTTTAGTTTTAGATGTGGCTCCTTTGCTCCAAAAATGGTTTAGTCTTCCCACAATACCTTGCATATCTGTAAGTTACCTGCTCAGAACCAAACAGCAGGCATTTGTAGGGTACATTTGCTAAAAAAAAGTTCTACTGGAAACACTGTTAATGAGTGCCATACGACTAACCGTACCAAAACCAAAACCAGTAAAGATTTAGGACGTAAAACCAAAAGAACATGCTGAAAGATACTAAAATGCTCCGTCAGGCTGAGGTTAACAGCACATTTGCTTTGTTATTCTCTGTGGTTTGAGTACAAGCGCCTAATTTCACATTACACAATCTTTAAAAAGGAGTCCTTGTATAAACAAGATTGTATTCTGCATATGGCAGGTTTTTTTCATTGATAAACATAATTGAAAATGTGCCAAGAAAAGGTGTTTGGAGAGAAGAAAATCTTACGGATATGTTATCTAGTCTTTTCTTTTTTGCCACTACTTGCTGATCTTATTTGCTTTGATAAATATGTTTTCCTTTGGCAGCTTTATCATCTCAGCTCATGTTGGCTTCAGTTTCTGCTGATCTTTATAGACATATTTTATGACTGCAGAGCAAAAAACAACAACCATGATAATGGCTTGGATTGCAATCAAATATTGTGTAACCTGAGCAGGAAACATTACTATTACATCTCCACTATATCCCTTCTGGACTGAGAAAACCTTTTGGGCATTTTTTTGAAGCAATATCAAGTTCAAAGCTT